GGCACGTGCTACCACACCTGGCTAATTTTTGTATTTTTAGTAGAGGTAGGGTTTCACCATGTTGGCCAGGCTGGTCTCGAACCTCCTGACATAAGGTGATCCACCCACCTCGGCCTCCCAAAGTGCTGGGATTACAGGCGTGAGCCACTGTGCCCAACCACTAGCATAATTTTATATGTATATTTATTTATTTTGAGGCAGGGTCTCGCTCTGGTGACCAGACTGAAGTGAAGTGGCATGATCTCCCAGGCTCAAGTAATCCTTCCACCTAAGCCTCTTTAGTAGCTGGGACTACAAGAGCTTGGCTAATTTTTGTATTACAGCATAATTATTTAAATAAAAAAGGTACCTTTTTCTAATACTTTCTAGAACTCAGAGTCAGTTGTTCTTTCCATTGCAGTGTCACTTGACTGGGCTGTGTGTGGTGATTACTTGTGTCTGCCTTCCCTAGAAATGGGTGAACTGAGCTGCAGAAGCCGTATCACCAGCAGGAAGCCTGGCAGTTTAGGAGCTCAATAAATGGTTGATTTTTCATGTTTGAGACAAGGTCTTGCTCTGTGGCCCAGGCTGGAGTGCAGTAGTCGTGACTCACTGAATCCTAGACCTCCCAGACTTAAGCAAGTTCTCCCACCTAAGCCTCACCGGTAGCGGGGACTACATGTGTGTGCTACCATGCTGGGTTTTTGTTTTGTTTTGTTTTGTTTTTTTCATTTTTAGTAGAGATGGGGTATCACTATGTTGCCAAGGCTGGTCTCGAACCCCCGGGCTCGAGCAGTCCTCCTGCCTTGGCCTCCCAAAATGCTGAGATGATAGGTGTGAGCCACCACGCCAGTCCCAGAGCTCAATAAATGATTCTTTTTTTTTTTTTTTTTTTTAAGACAGGGTCTCACTTTGTCACCTGGGGTGGAGTGCAGTGATGTGATCTCGGCTCACTGCAGCCTCGACCTCCTGGGCTCAAGTGATTCTCCTGCCTCAGCCCCCCCAAGTAGCTGGGACTACAGGTGTGTGCCACCATAAGTAGCTATTTTTTTCTACAGACAGGGTTTCACCATGTTGGCCAGGCTGGTCTTGAACTTCTGAGCTCAAAAAGCTCAGCCTTCCAGTGCTAGGATTACAGGCAAGAGCCACCGCGCCCCACCAAATGATTCTTTAATAAAGGTGAAAGGAAACAGTCTGAGGCCAGGTGCAGTAGCTCACACCTGTAATTCCAGCACTGTGGGAGGCCAAGGCAGGAGGATCACTTGAGGCCAGGAGTTGGAGACCAGTCTGAGAAACACAGCTAAAACCCCATCTCTACAAAAACAAAACAAAAGAAAAGGAGAGAGAGAGAGAGAGGAAGAAAAGAAAAAAAAATTGCACACAAAAGCACCTCTTAAACCACAGACGACTTACCAACAGTTAAAATAGGTAGGTGGGGCTGGGGGGAAGCTGTGTTAATGCTGGGTCCCTGTAGCTGCATCCACAGATAAAAGTTGGTGCTGGAGAGGCGGCATGCAAAGCGAAAAGAAGGGACCGCTTTGAGTTCTAGACCCAACGCCTCCGGTAACCACCTTCACTTCTCTGGTTTCTGCTGGCTCATCGGTAAAATGAGGGGTGGTATTTTTATAGTTCTAACACGTTATAGTTCTAGGTGGCTGTTTCATGAAGCACCGAGCGCTGCTCTCTAGCGGGTCACAAATGTAACTCGCAAGGCTGGGCTCGGCATTAGACTCTCGCGGGCAGGGACTGGCTATCTTGCTCGCTCCTCTGAGTCGCAAAATTGGCCTTCATGTATTGCTCAGTCAAGCACCACTACCAATATAAACGCCCTCCCACACGACGTGGCTGGAGCAATGTTTACTTCTGTCCCTGCTTCCCCAGGGCGCCCACAGGTTTGGGTAGCCCGAGATCTTCGAACAAGAACTGCTAGTGGGTGTTACATTCCCAGGTGCCAAGAGTGATGGGTCTGACTTTTAACTGGAGGTCTAAAGAAGCGAGCAACCCCACTAATGTTAACCCTTGCCTAAAGTCCAAAGTTAGGCCCTCTCCCTTTTCCCAGTGACCACCAAGCTCACCGCAGAGCGCAGCCTTCGCGGACCCGAGGACAGCCCTGCGCTCAGTCCCGAGCAGCAACCAGGGAGGCACCATTGCGGACTGGCGGCCGCCGCGCTACTGACCACCTCCCCCTCCTCTTCCTCCTCCTGCTCCCGCCTCCCGGCGCGCTGCTCCAGGCTCTCCGGCGCCCTCCAGCCAGGCACCGGCCGAACTGGGTAGTGCCGCAAGGTGTAATTACTGCTTTAAAACCTAAAGGCATTTGGAAAGAAACTAAAGGTTATGCTTACTTTTTTTGTTTTTATTATTTTGTAGGAGACACAAAGTTTAAAAATAGAAAGCAGAAAATGTGACACATTATTTAAGATTTAAAGTAAATAAACTTTTCCAATTTACCTTATAACATGATTTTCATACATTGGATTTGTTTAAAACTGACTACATGGATAACTTTTCTAAGAATTGTTCTTAACTCTAATAGCTGGTTCAACTGATGTAGGCATTAAAATAATGTCATGTTGTCATCTTTCCGCCACGAACTGATGATATTTGACTATAGGTTTGTCAGAGTTATGTCCAACTATTGTATAATATGTGTCAGTTTCCTATTGCTACCGTAACAAATTACCCCAAATTTACTGGCTTAAAACAACACAAGTTTATTATCTACAGTTCTGTAGATTAGAAGTCTCACTTGGCTAAAATCAAAGTGTCAGCAAGCCTGTGTTTCTTCTGAGCTCCAGAGTAGAATTTCTTGACTTGTCTTTTCTATCTTATAGTGGTTGCCTGCATTCCTTGGCTCTCATGGCCTCCTTCTCCATCTTCAAAGCCAACAGCTTTGAGCTTCAAATCCCTGATTCTGACTCCTGCTTCTGTTATCACATCTCCCTCTCTTCCTCTGACTCTGCTGCCTCTCTATTATAAGGACCTTTACATTCAGACCACAGAGATAATCCATGATAATCTTCTCATCCCAAGACACTTAGTTTAATCACATCTTCGAAGTCCCTTTTGCCAGTTAAGGTAACATATTCACAAGTTTCGGGTTTGTAGAACATGAACATCTTTGGTGCAGGAGGTCATTATTAAGCCTACCACACAGAGTTTCTCATTATCTTCTTTTTTATTTATTCTCAGGTTGGTTCCCAAGCATAATAAAAGCTATATTTAACTGCAAATAGATTTACAGTTAAAAATTAAAATATTTGGCCAGGTGCTGTGGCACCAACCTGTAGGCCCAGTTACCAGCAGGCTAAGGCAGGAGAGTCACCTGCGCTCAGGAGTATGAGGCTATAGTGCACTATGATCAGCCTGGGTGACTTAGTGAGACCCCATCTCAAAAAAAAAAAAGATATTTAGCATTATTTGGAAAATACATGGTTAGATAATCTTAAGGTAATCTATATTTTTATTTGATGTTTTCTTATAATGTCATTGTAATAGCACTAAAACATACTTACTGGCTAACATTTAAAAATAATTTCCTTTCTTTGAATAATCCATCAAGTAGTAAATTTTACATTCAATTAAGTGAAAAGATAAATGAGGAACATCAGAAATAAAAACTTAGTGTTACAGAATTTTCCTTAATTTAGGTCAAGTTTTGAAACAAAGATTGAAATCTCTGGAGATTTTGGTTATGCTAAGGGTACATCCACTGGAAATCAATATTTGAAATTTGTCATTCCCAAGAAAATTTTAAGTATTGTATGGTATTTGATAATTTCTAAATTTTTTCTTATGAAGAAAATAACCTAAATTTCCATAATCTAATTCAATCCCTTTTAAAAAATCAATCATAAACTGGGTTTCCACATATAATACATTTTAAAAAATCTTTTACAGTGACACAATTAAGATGCAAATTATTTAGATTTACTCAAGTTTGCTTGTTCTTATTCCTCCAAGTTCTAGATCAAATGCAACGTCAAAATATATGAAAGCTTTTGATTTACGAAGTAGACAATTTTGCCTTCAAAATTACACCACACAACCTGTTCTTATTTGAGGAATATTTTATTTTTCCCTAGGGAAAAAAATTATCCTAACCCCCCAAATGATAGTGTACCTCTATACCTATAACAGCACCTGGCATATCTGTGCTCAATTATATTTGTTAATGATCCTTGTAAGTACGATATAAGCAAATACCAACCTTCTTTGCCAAGTTCTCCACATGTAAATACTATTATAAAAAAAGAGTTTTTAAAGTAAAATTTAGTGTTTAAAGTTTTAACTCTCGTATCTTCTGATTTCTACGTCAATAGTCTTATCCTTAAAGCCACATCTGTCCCTTGGCTGAAGAGCTGTGAAAGATCAGGAGGCTTTTAGAATCTATCCATAACCAGTGTTGGCATTTGCAATATCCATGATTCAAACAAAATATTTTCAAACCAACTACTTTTACTTTTACTATGCACTGTGCTGGCCACTTTAACAGATAACCGGGCTTTGAGGAGGTATAGGTGTATTTGAAGAAATGTACTATCTAGTTAGGAAGAGAGAAGGACAGGTAAGACAACAGCAATGGGGAAGAAAAGCACAATAATATATGACGAATGTTAGATGTGACTTTAAGAGTCCAGAGGAGGGTAACGGAGGGAAATCGGAGTTTGTTTCAGAAGGCGCCCAGCAACAAGTGGAACTTAAGCCGACTCCTGGAACATCCGAGGTGCGCCCGCTGGCCCAGGATCCTAATAAATTGCTAGTCGGTAGCTATTACTCTAAGATTACCAGGGTCTCTCCGGGCTCTGCGAACAAGCAGAACGCAGGCGCCACGCAAGCCGGCCCCGCCCTTCACCCCTCCCCGCGCTCCCCGGCCCCGCGCGCGCCGCCTGGAACCTTCCCGGGCCAGGCTGCGGGCGGGCGGACGAGGCCCCACCTCTGCCGGGCGCCAGACGGGCGCGCAGGCGCAGTCTCCCCAGGTTGTAGACGCTGCGGCCCGGCCGGGCAGGGTGAGTTGGGGACGCGGCGCTGTGGTCGCAGCGGCGGTGTGGTCGCCGCAGTTTCTCGGTCTTCGCTTCGGCGACCTTGACCCGCTTGTGGGTGGGCGAGGCTGGAAGAGAGGCTCCCCACCCCCCTCGGCTTCCCGATCCCTGGGAGCGCCGGGCGGTCACCCAGGGCCGTGTGAGCGCAGCTCTGCAGGCTTCGGGTCCCTGCGGCTGCGGGAGAAGCCCTAGGCGTCAGGGCTGGCGAGGGGCCGCCTGGGAGGGGCCCGAGTCCCCTGGTGACCTGGGCGTGCGGCGGCCCCACACGCTTCCGTCCGCTTCCTCGCGGCGCATTTCTCTTCACAGCCTCGGAGTGTGTGTGTTGGTGACCGGAGGAAGCGTGTCTAACCCCGACTTTCTGGAAGCGTCGTGTATTAGGAGCTCCGGAGCCGGACTGCTTGGGTCCGCATCTCCGTCCACCACTTACTGGTTCTGGGACCTCTGCAAGTCAACCTGTCTTTCTCACTTTCAAGTGTAAAATGCGGGAAAATAATAGCAACTTACCTCCTAAGGTGGCTGTGAGGGTTGAGTGGGTTAATATCTGTGAAGTGCTTAGAACTGAGCGTGATACACAGCAAATGGTAAGATGCTGCTCATCTTTTTGAGCTTGGTATATAAAAGGAGATAGTGTTTTTTTCTTCTCCTTCCAACCCCCATAAATAATTGCCCAAAAGTGGGAAAAAAGGACTTTTTCTTAAGGATATGGGCTTTTTGCATAGCCTGTTTAAAAACAGCTTTCTAAACAACTTGGTTGCACATCCTACTTTAGAGAAAAGACAGGTGTTAAGTGATGGTGAAGTTGGAAACTGTAAAGTTTATTATTTGGAAAACCGCATGAGAAAAATGGCCAGAACATATTTGTGCTAAAAAGAGTTAACATAGCAGGCCTGAGACTGCTATCTTTAGAAAGGACTGCTTGCAATGTTGGTGCTTGTTTGGCATCTGGGAACTTAGATTTTTGGGTTTGTGCTGAACAGTATGTTTTACACCGAAATTACCAGCTTCTGTAAAAATCCGGGACACCTAGTCTCTGATGGGCTTCCCTGCGCGGAAGCGTTGCATATGTGTTGCTGTATTTTCATTGGTGGAGGAAGGGTGTGTTTTGTTTGACCCCTCTTGGGAGGGAGACTGCATAAGGAGCCTACACGTGATTCCTCCAGACTCCACTTGTGTCTTTTTCTATTGTGATGAGCCTGTATATCCATACTGCATTGTGTAATAAATGTCAGCCATGAATACAATTATATGTTGAGTCCCGTGCATCCTATCAAAACTCTAAATGTGGGGGAGATCACGGAGATCCACAGCCACAGTTTTGTAAATTTGTATAAAGGTAAGGGATATAAGTGCAGTTTTGTTACAGGATCTATTTCCTAGTGATACTGGGCTTTTAGTGTAACCATCACCTGAATAATGTACATTGTTTCCATTAAGTAATTTCTCATTCCTCACCCCACTCCCATCCTTCCCAGTCTCCAGTGCCCAGACACAATTTTGATGATATAAATAAAGTATTGGAAGCTCTAATAATTGGACTTTTAAATTTGTCCTTTTGCCTTAAATGGAAATTGGAAAACTGCAGATACATGATTGCCGAATCCTGGGTTACTAATGATTCTGTCTGTTTAGACATATTACATATAGCAGAAAAATCGTCAGAAATTGCCTCTACACTACCAAGTTAAGTTTGAGTCAGTGTTTTTGAAAAAAGGCACAGGTTGCTTACAGTATGTAGGTCAAATGCCTGGTTTTGTTTATTATTTTGCTAGCATTATCTGTGTTAATGCTCATCTTTATCAAGAGCTTATCTGTACCACGGCGGGAAAATATAACCAGTTTCTCATAGACCATTTTCTCTGTACTTTATTAGTTATACCTATCTCTTTTCAGGACATCAAATTTAAATTGATGGAGGTATTTGTAAATTTGGGAATAGAAAGATCAAATTTGCCATCTGCTTATGTCTCTCTTCCCTTAGTGAAAGACTAGATCAGTTTTTGATAAGTTAGTGGGGAGATGGAGGGGTTAGAGGTTTAAGGAAAGTGAAGAAGATTTGAAGTGGCTTTGTGGATAGTATGTAAGTTTACCAGAAGGTGTAGTGAATAATAATGGACCTAGTCTCCTTTCTTAAGAGACTTTCTCCCGACATGGAGAAAATGATTAATTGGGTTCATCTAGGATTGGGTTCTGCCAGAGAGGTGATGTCGTCCTTAAGGCTCTGCACAAGTATTCCAGTTCACCTCTTTTTGGGTACATGTAATGTTGTACTTTTTGTACATGGGCAACCCCTCTCCATGTCTACTTGAAGTTAAATGTGCCATGTGACTTGCTTTAGGAAGCAGCTCTCCATTAGCCATTTCCGCTTCTCTCTACCCTTCTGTAAGGGTCATGGAAGGACTTGAGATGCAGCCTCTTGTCAGCCTGGACACTACAGGAAATTATGAGTGGCTGATCAGGCATGCTGGAAGGACTGGGAAGTTACGATCAGAGAAGGGGATACTTAAATTAGTGATTTTATAAGGTGGAACTGTAGGGGAGAGTAGATGAGGAAGTTTGGAGGGAGAAGGTAGAGATGAAGTGCTCAAGGAACTCAGAGGCTTTTTACATGTTCCTAACCCAGAAGCCCTTAATTTATTGCAACTTAGTTCAGTAGTGATGACCTTTGGACTTAATGGTAAACTTGAAAGCTCCCTTATTGTGAAATATGAAATGAATAAATCAAGATTTGGAATTTAGTACTGAATTGAAAGATTCATTACTTTGATCATTGAAAAGTAAGTCAGCAACCATGAAAATTGCGATGTTGCTTAGCTGCCAGGCAGGAGAGTAATAGGTAGGCTAAGCTACTCTAACAGAGACTCCAAAATATAGTGGTTTTCAAAAATGCTTAGCTTGTATCTAAAATCTTTTATAATTAACTGAATTTTTAAGAAATGTAAGGGATAGAGGTAAATAACACCATGAAGAAAGAGACAAATTCAGTGTGAGACATTATACAACTTTGCTGTTGAAAGAGTATTCTGTGGGCCCCCAGCAGTGGCTTCAGTTTTAAGCTTTTTAGATAGGTAGAATCTCAGGTCTTGTGCCAAACTTGTTCAATCAGAACTTTGATTTTAACAAGACCCTCAAGGTGACTCATGCACTGGCCTGATCTCTTTAAAAAGCTAAAGTCTTAGGCAAGTAAAAGGTTGAAGAACTGTTCTGTTAATAGATTAAAAGATACTAAAGAGACACAACCAATATAAAGTGCAAACCTTGATTGGATCTTTTTCAAAATACCAGCTATAGAAGACAATTTAGGGCCAAATAAGGAAATTAGAATATGATGGAAAATGAGATGATATTAGAAAATTATTAATTTTCTTAGATATGATTATATTGTTATATAGGAGACTGCTTATTTTTAAGAGATACATGCTGAAGTATTTAGGAATGAACTGTCAAGATCTGTACAACTTTCAAACAGTTCAACAACAACAACAAATATATATATATATGCACACATATATATGTGTCTCTGTATACACACATATTGATATTTAGATAAAAACAAACATAGCAAATTGTTAATAGGTGTGGAATTGGTGGGGCACCATGCTTCATACCTGTAATCCCAGCAGTTTGGGAAGCCAAGGCGTGTGTGGATTGCTTGAGCCCAGGAGTTCAAGACCAGCCTGGGCAACATGTGGAAATCCCATCTCTACTAAAAAATACAAAAAAATTATCTGGACGTGGTGGTGTGCGTCTATAGTCACAGCTACTTGGGAGGCTGAGGTGGGAGAATCACCTGAGCCTGGGGAGGTCGAGGCTGGGTGAGCTGAAATCAGGCCACTGCACTCCAGCCTGGGCAATCGGAGTGAGACTCTGTCTCAAAAAAATAATAATAGCCGGGTGCAGTGGCTCACGCCTGTAATCCCAGCGCTGTGGGAGGCGGAGGTGGGCGGATCACAAGGTCAGGAGATCGACAGGGTGAAACCCCGTCTCTACTAAAAATACAAAAAAATTTAGCCAGGCGTGGTGGCACGCGCCGAGCGTAAGCCCAGCTACTCTAGGGAGGCTGAGGCAGGAGAATTGCTTGAACCCAGGAGGTGGAGGTTGCAGTGAGCCAAGATCCATCCCTAAAATAATAATAATAATAATAATAATGTAATAAATGTGGAATCTAAATAGTATATGAGTGTTTATTATACTGTTCTTTTAACTTTTGTAAATGTTTAAAATTTTTCATGATAAAAAGCTAGAGTGAACCCCCGCAAAATGTAGTAGCTTAAAAAGATAGAAATTGGCCGGGCGTGGTGGCTCACGGCTGTAATCCCAGCACTTTGGGAGGCCGAGGCGGGTGGATCACGAGGTCAGGAGATGGAGACCATCCTGGCTAACACGGTGAAACCCCGCCTCTACTAAATATACAAAAAAAAATTAGCCGGGCGAGGTGGCGGGCGCCTGTAGTCCAGCCTGTAGTCCCAGCTACTCTGGAGGCTGAGGCAGGAGAATGGCGTGAACCTGGGAGGCGGAGCTTGCAGTGAGCCGAGATCGCGCCACTGCACTCCAGCCTGGGCGACAGAGCGAGACTCCGTCTCAAAAAAAAAAAAGAAAAAGATAGAAATTTAATTTTCTCTTAATATTCTGGTGCTAGTCGTACAGCACAGGTAGAGTGACTTTACTGTGCTTGGCTTACAGCTTCCTTTTTTGATCCAGTATGGCTCATCCAGCTCCTGCTATTTCCTTGCTAGCAGAAGGGAGGAAAGGGTGAAGAGAACTCAGTATCCAGAAGCAACACTTATTCCGTTGATGAAAACTTTAGTTTTGGTCATTCACCTGGACATCTTATATTTAAGGGCTGTGTCTTGGTTCAGCCCGCTATAGCAAATTATTATAGGCTGGGTTGTTTAAACAACACAGACTTATTTCTCACAGTACTGGGAGCGGGGAAGTCCAGGGTGAAGGTGCTGGCAAATCTAGTATCTGGTGAGGGCCTTCTTCCTGGTTTATAGATGGCCATCTTCTCTGTATATCCTCATGTGGATACAAAGGTAGCTTGTATTATAAGAGGCCAGTCTCATTCATGAGGGCTCCACCTACATGACCTAATTACCTCGCAAAGGCTTCACCTTCAAGTACCATCGCTTTGGCGATTAGATTTCAACATATGAATTTGGGGTGGGGACACAAACATTTAGTCCATAACAGTATAGTTGGCAAAAGCCAGTGGAATATATCATGTGTATACTGATTTAACAAAGATTTATTTCATTTCAACTGATGTTCCCTTCTTCTTCCTCTGTTGATATCCCAGACCAATTAAAATTGAAGTCATTTCAATTTTGATATGCATTAAATAAAATATAAAATTTTAATTTTGAAGACTCAAATGTATGAATTTTTTTCCCTCAATCCCTTCAGTAAATAACAGATGCGGGTGAAAGATCCAAGTAAAGCTTTACCTGAGAAAGCCAAAAGAAGTAAAAGGCCTACTGTACCTCATGAAGAAGACTCTTCAGATGATATTGCTGGTAAATTGTGATATTTGGCATCCCAAATAGTGTTGAGAAGAAATAACAATGCAGTTGACCCTTCAACAACATGGATTTGAATTCTGAAGATCAACTTGTACACGAATTTTTTTCAACCAAACGTAGATGGAAAATACACTATTCTTGGGATGTGTAAAAACTGCATACTCAGCAGACTGACTTCCTAAATGCAGATTCCACAGGGCCCACTGCGGGACTTGAGTATGCACAGATTTGGGTATATGTGGGGAGGTCCTAGAACCAACTACGCCACCCCACCTCCCTGCCTCAAGTATCTGAGGGATGACTGTATATGTTTTTAATTAAGAAATCTGTTGCTCTTTATTTTTACTATTTTCTGTGTAAGCATTAGAATCACCTTGTCTAGTTCCAAAAAATCCTGTTGGTATTTTTATTAGGATTTTGTTTAGTTTATAATATGAAGTAACTTAGATTGGCTTTTTTTTTTTTTTTTTTTGGTCTCTTTCTCATGGCCTATTAAAACCATGTCACCAAGCCACCAGAGCTTGGCAGATGGCCTTTGGGAGCTGCTGGCCTCAGGGCTTGGTTTTCTCTTTAGTCTCATGCTTTTCATTTAGGCCTCTGAGGATTTGCCTCACTTTCTTGCCGGTTTTCTCCATTTAAAGAGATATTTTTAATATATTATTTCCACTTTAGGTGTGCATAGTTGCATACAGCTATACACACACACTCACATATGAGTGCATATGTCTTGTGAAATCCGAACAAGTTCTAAGGATTTTACCAACATCAGCTTCCTGGTTTTGATATTTTACTATAGTAGTCCAAAATATTAACATCAGGGGAAGCTCAGTGAAGGGTGAATGAGACCTCCTTGTATATTTCTTTGTACCTTCCTGTGAATCTAAAATTAGTTCAAAAATTTAAACTGTAATAAATCAGGGACATCAGGTAAGGTCCTAATGATATTTAAAGAGATACTTCAGACATCCTTCAATGCAGCAAACTGGCTATCCTGAAACATCCAATTTTAGTACATGTATAGCTTTGTATAACCACCACCAATGAAGATACTTAACTGTATCATCACCACCCTATGTGCTGTCCATTTATAGCAACATCCTCTGCCTTGCGTCCACTGCCCCCTAAAACCATGAATCTCTTCTCTCATTCTATAATTATGTTATATCATGAACATTATATAAATGGAATTACATAGCATATATTTTTTGAGTTATTTTGTGTGTTGAATCTGTGCTTTTTAGTGAACAGCATTTAATACTTTTGAGATTTGCTTAGTAATGGTAGCACTTTGGTGTAGCAAAGAAAATGTTGAGATTTTGTTTTATCTTATTCAGTAGGTTTAACTTGCCAACATGTAAGTCATGCTATCAGCGTGAATCATGTAAAGAGAGCAATAGCTGAGAATCTGTGGTCAGTTTGCTCAGAATGTTTAAAAGAAAGAAGATTCTATGATGGGCAGCCAGTACTTCCTTCTGATATTTGGTTGTGCCTGAAGTGTGGCTTCCAGGTAAGAAAAGTGTTATTTATATGTGAGTTTATCTGAAGTATTTTCCTTAAATGCTTATTGTGAGCTGGACTGTTGGTCATGCATAGGAGTTAAGATATATTTATTCCAATTTAGATAGAAATTTTCCAAGAATGAACTTAAAAATGATTGTTAAGGTAAAGTAAAAGGTATGCTATGTTCAGAAAGTAATCAAGTGTGGTTTATAAATACTTGCAGAGGGAATTCAACCTATTTGCAGTAGTTCCCATATCTGGACCAGTCTTTACCTTTTGTGTTTACTTAGGAAATGGATCCACCTTTCAGATTAATTTTTTTTCTCTCAAAACAGATTTTTCTGCTGCTTTTGCAAAATAGTTTAAAATCTTAAAGTTTAAAAGTTATTGATACCTGTAATAAATTTTCTAATGAAATGAAAAGTATATACTTTCTTTAAAAAAATAAGAGAAATCTTCATTATCTCACACGAAATGCCCAGAAGTAAGGCCACTTCAGGATTAGTTAATTTAATGGAAAGAACATTAAAAACTGAGGTTTATTCTGTTCTCTGCTCTGCCATCCTGAGCCTCATGGTTGTGTTCCTCTTTAAAAAAGAAAAAACCTTTCTGGAAAGATTCAGCAGATTTGACTTCCCTTCATGTTGCATTAACCAGAATTGCATCTCATTTCTTTACTTACCTAGTGAAGGAAATCGCTATGATTGGTCTGTGTCTCAGTAGTTCTCAGTGGGTTGGGGTGAAGTTGTGTACAAGATTGGGAAATGTGTGTTTGTGGAAGGGCACCACTGGCCTGCCAGGATGCTGGGTGTTCCACAGTGTGCCAGACAGTGTGTACATTTTTAAATGATAGGGAAATTAACTTTGCCCATGATTGTTTTAAGTAAATACTGTGTATTGAAAAGCATGTTAACCTGTTTGCAAGAAATTAAATTTAATGAGAATCCATATTGCTTTTTTGAAACTTTCTCCTCTGGCCTGAAATTAAAAACAGAACAAAACTTTTCAGTATAAGTGTGAATATAATTTAAATTTTGATTAATTTGAAACAAATATTTGTAAGTCATACAAAATAGCATTCTGTTCATCTTCAGGGATGTGGTAAAAACTCAGAAAGCCAACATTCACTGAAGCACTTCAAGAATTCCAGAATAGAACCCCATTGTATTATAATTAATCTGAGCACATGGATTATATGGTAAGTTACATTTTGTTAGTTCTTGTGTCCACTAACCACCCCCCCAATTTTTTTTTTCTTTACGCTTTTAAGGTAAAGTATTTAAAGATGTTCTATCAGCTTTTGGTTTTTTAACCTGAACACAATCTACGGGATACTTGAAGAAAATTAACATTACCTATGAATATAAAATTTTAATTGGAAAAATTTTAACTATCTCTCTACCTTTTTTTGTTGTTGTTGAGACGGAGTCTCACTCTGTCACCAAGGCTGGAGTGCAGTGGTGTGATCTCGGCTCCCTGCAACCTCTGCCTCCCGGGTTCAAGCAATTCTCCTGCCTCAGCCTCCTGAGTAGTTGGGACCACAGGCGCACGCCGCCACAGCTGGCTAACTTTTTGTATTTTAGTAGAGATGGGGTTTCACCATGTTGCCCAGGCTGGTCTTTGAACTCCTGAGCTCAGGCAATACGCCCTCCTCAGCCTCCCAAAGTGCTAGGATTACAGGCGTGAGCCACTGTGCCCGGCCTCTCTACTTTTCTCTGACATTTTCCTTGTAATATAAAGAAAAATTCTTTTTAGTTGATTTTTTTTGGTAGTGAACTTGCTAATACAGAATTCTAGTGTTGTAGAGACGGAAGATACTTCAAGCAGTCAGGTCATTTTCTGAAGGGAGAAGGAAGAGCTGGGCATAAGTAGCTTGTAAAAACTTTTCAGGTCATTCTGCTATTTAATCCTGGTTGAGAACCTAGTCCAGTTTCCTATGTTACCTGTAAGGAAACTATATAATATTTACCTTTTTGTGGTTATGAAGTAAAAATCCAGGTACTAAAACAAGTTTTTTTCGTGGGGCGTGGTGGCTAACACCTGTAATTCCAGCATTTAGGGAGACCACGGTGGGTGGATCACTTGAAGTTAGAAGTTTGAGACCAGCCTGGCCAATATGGTGAAATCCTGTCTCTACGAAAGATACAAAAATTAGCTGGGCATGGTGGTGCATGCATGTAGTCCCAGCGGCTCAGGAGGTTGAGGCAGGAGAGTCACTTGAACCCGGGAGGTGGAGGTTGCCACTGCACTCCAGCCTTGGTGATAGAGTGACACTCCTTTTCAAAAAAAAACCAAAAACGAGTTTATTTTCTAGTTTCTTATTAGCATATCACACTGTTTCGGTGGTATAAATGGACACTGTTGAAATGCTTCCTCTGTGTTTTACAATAATATTCCAACTTGAATCTATGGACTCCTAAGGGTTCCTTGAATGAATTTTCAGGAGTCCTCAGATTTTCTTTAACATAAAAATGTTTTGTCTAAAATTAATATAAGGGTATTTTAGCTGACAGAAGAGGTCATCATCTTTAATACAGCCAGAAGGGTTGGGCACCTGCTGCATTTGTGTTTTTCTTTGTTGTTGTGAGTCCCAAGTAGTAGTATTGGGGAGAATGAGGAAAGGTCAGAGGGAACTTAGTATATAAATGATGCATTGAAACCAAGGGAGACAGCAGTAGTGCCATAGTGCGGCAGTTCAATAAGGATTTCACTTTAGTGATCTCAAACTCTGGCTGCATCAGAATCTCAGGGAGATCTTACTATGACAGACTGCAGGATCCCAGTCTTAGAAATTCTAATTTAGTAGTTCTGGGGTGGAGGGGCCAGAGAATTTGCATTTAAGAAGCTCCCAAGTGTTGCCAGTGCTGCTGGTCTGGAGACCACAGTTTAAGAACTACTGAATTAGAAAAAGGTGGGTAAGAAGATTGTGAAAATGTAAGGTAGCACTGGTGTAATGCATTATGTTTTTTTGCTTTTTTTTTTTTTTTTTTTTTGAGATGGAGTCTCACTCTGTCACCCAGGCTGGAGTGCAGTGGCGCGGTCTTGGCTCACTGCAACCTCTGCCTTCCGGGCTGGGAGTAACTGGAATTACAGGTGCCTGTCACCACGCACGCCCTGCTAATTTTTGTATTTTTAGTAGAGATGGTGTTTCACCATGTTGGCCAGGCCGGTCTCGAACTTCCAACCTCAAGTGATCCTCCCGCCTTGGCCTCCCAAACTGCTGGGATTACAGGTATGAGCCACCACACCCGGCCATAATGCATTATGTTTATAAAACACTTTGAACACTTTCCAACACATGTTCTTAAATGATCACTGGATCTCATGAGGATAAAGGAAACAGGTAATTATAATATAGAGAGGAAACAAATTAATACGATGTATTAAGGAGTAAACTTAATTGAGGTGTTTTCTGAATTGGAATGTGCTTTTGAAAATGTCTTTCCTAACCCTCTACCTCCAAATAAGCCCCCAGCAAAATAGAACAGCTATCTCTTTGAGTCTTACCCATCTCTATATGTAATCAAGCTAGAAGCCTGGCAGTTATTTTCTTCCCCTTTTTTATCTTATTTTATTTTTTAGCCTGTTAACAAAAGTAGACAGAATGGTATAATGAATTTTCCCATACCCATCAACCAGCTTCCGTTGTTGTTTTTTTTCCAGCTTTAAACATTATCAACTTACAGCAAGTCTTGTTTCATCTAGGCCAGGATTTCTCGATCTCAATACTCTTGGCATTTGGACTGTTAATGCTCTGTGATTAATTCCTTGTTGTGCTATCCTGTACGTTATTGGATGTTTACCAGCATCGCTGGCGTCTACCCACTTAAATGCCAGTAGTGGTCCTCTCTCCTCTCACCAGTTGTCAGAACCAAAAATGTCAAATGTCCCCTAGGTGGCAAAATCACTCCTCATTGAGAACGGCAGTGATTCTCAACACCAGCATTGAGGATTGCTGACATTGTCTCACTCCTCCCTACCCAAGGCAGTTATTTTGACACTTCCCTTTCCCTCCTCTTTTATATCTAATTTGTTACTGTTTCTACCTGCAAATGTATATAATGAATGCCCATTTCTCTGCAGATCGTCTGCTACTATACTAATCTGTTTCTGTTCCTAATGCCCTCCAATCTAGTTTATCACATTAGTGAGAGTGATGTTTTTAAAGTGTAAGTTGGGGCTGGGTGTGGTGGTTCACACCTGTAATCCCAACACTTTGGGAAGCCGAGGCGGGTGGATCACTTGAGGTCAGGCATTCGAGACCAGTCTGACCAACATAGTGAAACCCCATCTCTAATAAAAATACAAAAATTAGCTGGGCGTGGTGGTGCATGCCTGTAATCCCAGCTACTGGGTGGTCGAGGCAGGAGAGTCACTTGAACCCTGGAGGCAGAGGCTGCAGTGAGCTGAGATTTCACCACTGCATTCCAGCCTGGGAAACAGAGTGAGACTCTGTCTCAAAAGTAAAAAATAAATAAAATATAAGTTGGACCATATCATGGCCCTGCTTAAGAACCCTCTCATGGCATTTCATTATAAACTGCCAAAGATAAACTGCCAAAAGTTTCATTTCAACTGTAAGGCTCTGTATGAATTTTCCCCTGCTTATTTCTCTAGACTTACCCAATGCCTTCCGGGTACATTTGTATACAAATACATTTGTATTCCCTCCCATGTAATTTAAGACAAAAGTAACTAAATGCCAACTTTGTTATCTGATGTGCAAAATTATTGAGGATATTTTCATAATATTTTCTTAAATTTTATATTTTTTCAGGTGTTATGAATGTGATGAAAAATTATCAACGCATTGTAATAAGAAGGTTTTGGCTCAGATAGTTGATTTTCTCCAGAAACATGCTTCTAAAACACAAACAAGTAAGTTAAGCAATTACTAAATGAATCTGTGTTAAAATATAATATTTCATATGAAGAGTTCAGAAATTCATAAAGAATACTTTAGATTTCACTGTGACAGCCCAGTCAGTAATTTGAATAAAGATATTATGAGTATTGAATGGGTGCAGTGGCTCATGCCTGTAATCCCAGCATTTTGGGAGGCCGAGGTGGGCAGATCATGAGGTCAAGAGTTTGAGACCGGCCTGGCCAACATGGTGAAACCCCGTCTCTACTAAGAATACAAAAATTAGTCGAGTATGGTGGCACGTGCCTGTAATCCCAGCTACTCGGGAGACTGAGGCAGGAGAATTACTTGAACCCAGGAGGGGAGGCGGAGGTTGCAGTGAGCCAAGATCACGCCACTGCAGTCCAGCCTGGGCAACAGAGCAAGACTTCGTCTCAAGAAAAAAATACATATATATTATGAGTATCATGCATTCTTAGGTGGCAACCTTGTTATATGTTTATATAACCAATTTGAGAAACTGAAGTATGTCGTGTCTAGATCATGGGCTTTGAAGTCAGTCCTAATAAGTTTGAATTTAGGCTTCCCCACTTACTAGCCATGGTCACTTTTATTGCTTAGTTTCCTTATTTATAAAATTAGGATGATAATTCTGTCTTGTGGAATTACTATGAGGCCTAGAGATAATATTTTCTAAAGATTTAGAAATAATGCATGTAAAAATACTTGCATAGTACCTGTATTAGTCTTTTCTCATATTACTATAAAGAAATACCCGAGATTGCATAATTTATAAAGAAAAGAGGTTTAATTGGCTCACGGTTCCACATGTTGTGCAGGAAGCATGCTGCTGGCATCTGTCCAGCTTCTGGGGAGGCCTCAGGAAACTTTCAATCATGGTGGAAGGCAGAGTGAGAGGAATCGAGTATTAATATAAACCTCAGGTTTTTTATTGAACAACTAGGTGGATGGACGTGATAATTTTGAGTTGCCTTTGAAGCAGAATTGAATTGCTTAGTAGGTGGCATCAGAAACTGAAAAGCTATGTAAAACTATAGTTGCCAACTGTTTTCTATAGCCCAATGTACAGCTGTTTTTGTTAGCCATTGCCCTAATGAGACAGTAATGGTGAAGGAACTGGAGGAGGAACCAGAGAAGGTAAACTCAGGCTCCTGGACAGCAGTAGAAATGATTAATTTGATCACTTATTCATTTACTTATTCAACAAACATTTATTGAATTCTGTTCTGCACCAGGGATACTAGTTGTAGCTCCAATTCTGCTCAAATAAAGAACCAGGAAAATATGGTGGTGAAAGACATGTAATACTACTGGAATTGAAGTTGGTCATAATACTGTCTGCTGAAAAATGTGCATTAAGTTTCCTTGGCCATAATAAGAAGATAGGCAAGGATATGATGGCATGGGTGATGAAAGTACAAGTTTAGAAATTATTTTCTCTGGATTTTTTTTTTTTTTTTTTTTTTTTACCTTAGAGGCTCCCTAAGGTTAAGTACAAAGCCAGTCTGATTTTCATTCAGTTTTACAGATTTCTTGAATGATTATTACAAGAAAGATGCTAGGAAGGGAGCATAAAATTATGGTATGATGGAAAGTACATGGCTTTGAGGTTGGGCACGGTGGCTCATGCCTTAAACCCAGCACTTTGGGAGCCCAGGGCGGGCAGATCACTTGAGGCCAGGAATTGAGACCAGCCTGGCCAACATGGTGAAACCCGACTCTACTAAAAATACAAAAAAATTAGCTGAGCGTAGTGGCACATTCCTGTAATCCCAGCTACTCAGGAGGCTGAGGCATGAGAATTGTTTGAACCCAGGAGATGGAGGCCGCAGTAAGCTGAGATCACACCACTGCACGCCAGCTTGGGCGACAGAGTAAGACTGTCTCAAAAAAAAAAAAAAAAAAAAGACAGTAGATGGCTTTGAGTCAGGGGATTTGGCATTCAGATTTGACTGTCACTAGATGTGTGACTCCAGGCAGTTATCTGTTTATCCAAGCCTCATTTTTCCGTAGTACTTTATATTTCCAAGGTGCTTCAGGGAATAGAGATTGATAAGACAGTCCCTAAATCTTTAAGAGGCTAAAGATCTGAAAGAAGGTGTGAGATTAAAAAGTAATGATAGGCAAGTGGAGTAAGTTTTCTATTTTAAGTAACAACCAAAGTCCTTCAAATATCCAAAGAGGGATATAATGTTCAGTTGTAGGAACTAAAAAGGAATCATGGATGAGCTGGCTTTCAAGTTGACCCTTAAAGGATGAACTCTGGGCAGGTGAAGATGAGAGAAGAAATCATTTCAGGTGGTGGGAAGCACTAATACAAGCCTTAATTGTGCTTATGGGACCGTGAGATAGCACCTGGAATGGTGGGGAATGGGCTCTTGAGGTAGTTTGAGAGTGAGTGGAGCTTTCAAAGTTGGAGAGATACGTGGTTCTTAGTTTAAGGCTTTGGGTGATTCTAGGGCAAGATGTCATTATCCTTGTGGGTTAAGCTACAGGATCTCTCAGGCAAGTTTGATTTAAAATAATATTCCTTGGCATTCTAGAATAAGTTTTTGGATATAATAGTTTGTCATACTGTGTCTTGTATGCGGCTTCAGTATATTTTTATAAAAAATTTGGAAAATCAAATATGAAAGTTGTTATTTAGGTTGCAAGGATGCTGGATATGATTTTGCAGTAATCTTAATGGTAATTGTGAAGATTATAGCATTGTGAAAACACCTATATGTGATAATTCAAAAGGAATATGAAACTGTATTATTGTGTTTGCGTGACAGGGTAAGTATGATTTTAAAAGATTATTTTTGTATTTTTGCACTAAGTAAAAATAGTTATCAAGAAGAAACCCTGTGCCTGTACGTTAAACACATTTTGAAGTTATGCATGACCAGACATTTTCTGTCTCTCTCTCTTTAAAGCATATCATTAATTCTTTTGTTTTTTTCTTCCTTTACTTTTAGGCGTCACTATCCTAAAATCAGATAGTATGTGGGTGGCTCACGCCTGTAATCAGAGCACTTTGGGAGGCTGAGGTTGGCAGATCACTTGAGTCCGGGAGTATGAGACCATCCTGGGCAACATAGCGAGACTTGTCTCTAAAAATAAAAATAAAATAAATAAAGTAAATACTATGAAAGATAACTTTTTCAAAACACAAGTTTAGTGAGTGGCACTGTCTTACATTTTTACAAGTCTCAAGTGTCTGGCTTAATAGAAAATGGCTGGATTCTCATATCTGCTTCTGCATTTAATCTTTTGTGATATTGCATGCCATATGGCCTCTGGAGAATGGCACTGTATAATTGAGAGTGAATGAAAGTAAAAAAAAAGCAAATAAAATCTTAGGCTTATTACGAAAATACTTTTGACCTTAAGTACCCTTGAAAGGAGGAAGTTGCCTTCCGACCCACTTTGAGAAGTGCTGAACTGTAGCACATTTGTCTTTATACTTTCTGTCTTCAGCCTTATCCATTAAGGCTCAGCTCAAATTTTACTTCTAGGATGCTTTCCCTTATCTCTTTTTTGGCACTCAGTGTCTGTGCAGCACACTTTAGAATCTAATAACACACTTTTTTGATGTTTCATATTTATGTTTGTACTTGTCTTATTTTCTCTCAAGACTGTAGGTTCCTTGAAGACTGGACTCTGGGTTAGATTCTCTTTTATTTTTATGTGAGTAGACAGTAAATACTTACTGAATAAACAAAAGAGAATGTGACCAGTTTTTATTGAGGAAGTAGATAGATAAGCTTCGCACTTTCACCCCCCAATCCTAAATATTAATATCAAAATTATTTATTCAGTCTTTTAATATCTTTGAGTTTCTGCTTCGTGCCAGATGCAGCATTAGGTGTTAGAAATGCAGTAGTGAATGAGACAGATCTACTTCCTAGTTCCCGTTGTTACTGATCTTTTGGTCTATTGAGGGATATAGACAAATTGCACTTAGTTATACTTGCCTGTTTAAATAGTGCTATGATGGAGCAAGTACCAGGGGCCGTGTGAACACTTTGGAATAGTATCTAACATCGATTGGAGGAGCCAGGCCAATTCTATTTAGAGGAATAATCCAACTTAGTTGGAAGCAGAAGAATATCTAGAAATTATCTGGGCAAAAAGGGAACGGATTGTGTGCTCCAGGCAAAAAAAATAGCTCATTGACAAGAGCTCGATAGGTTCAGGGAAGTCTAGAGAGCTGAAAAGTTGAGTTTTGTGGTGTAGAAGATGGTGAGAGGTGAGACTTGAGGTAAGTAAGAACAGGTATTTAAGGGCCTTGTACAGATAGAATTTATTCTGAGGGCAGTGAGGAACCACTGTTAAGTTTTAAGCAGAGAAGAGGCTGATCAGTGATTTTGTATCTTAGATCTCTTGGTTTGACTTGTATGGAGACAGTTAGGAATGCCTATATATGTATAACTGCCCATTTATTATGTTAGTATCAATTTATCATATGACAGTAAAAATTTATAAGGCAAATGGTTAACTGGAAGTTAGTTGATTTTGAGAATAAACTGGCAAGCTAATTATTATTTGGTTCCTAGCTAGGGGAATTGTGGGGCAGCAAGTTGTCTCTTTTTACTGGCTCTTTAAAGATTAAACTTCTTTTCAGTTGTAGAAATGGGCAGATTACATTAATACTACATGACTGGTTTAGGTAATTGCATTAAGCAGTTGAGATGAACCCCAGCTCAGGTTCCCAGAAGAATGCTTACAGCTGTGTAGATTTCACATCTGATGTTAGGATTTGCTTACAGAAACAAAACTCCCTCTACCACCCCCTTCCCCATACATGTAATAAAAAGGTCATATATAATGCAAGACTGAAAATAGGCAAATAAGCATTTTTGTGAGTCCCACCCAGATATAGGTATTATTAAAAAGTAGACCAGAAAACTTTGGAGACAGTAAAAAACATCAGTGGTTGCAAGGGGTTGAGGAGAAGGGGTGAATAGGCAAAGCACAGATAATTTTTTAGGGCAATAAAACTACTACT